TGGARCACTTCAAATCAGATCTGGAGATAAGAAAAGGCTTAAAATATGCAGAAAAACCAATGGCACTGAAATGGTGAAGAGCAGAGGTGTGACTTTGTGGTGATGGCAAGGGTGGCTCTAGGATGGCCACAAACTCTTGGCTGGAGCAGAGAGTTCAAAAGGGACGCCTGATTTACTGGGGAAAAGGTTCACCCTGGGAGAAGGGGGCATTTGGCTGCTAAAGGTGTTTTTGGAGGAGCCGCTCCAGCCCCTTACTGGAAACAGCACATCCCAAGCCAGCCTCTGGGCATCCACAATGCATCCAGCTCCTCTTAAATCAGTGTTTTGCAGCACCAGCTCTACCACCCCCAGCTTTAAAACCAGCAACAAAATAAAAATATTCATGAAATAACACTTGTGCCCGAGGCAGGCCAACCCCAGGGGTAAACACAAGACCTGCAGGCACAATCCTTTCTCCCACAGCACAATCTCTGTGTCTTCTTGCCCTGGAAATCTTCCTTCCCTGSTTCCTGCAGCATTTAGACAGCAGATGTCAGTTTTTTCTGAACATTGCTCTTGATTCACAGTGTTTTTTAAAGATAGGTGTGAATCCAGGTCGGCACAGAGATGAAAATCCCGAGTTCTCTTATCAATTAGAAAAACTTTGTGTAGTCTCTCCCCAAATTTGAAGGCGCTTGGAAGGTTTGAATGCCTCAGCATTTCTCCTTCGGGAAAGGGTTTGGAGGAGGAGAAAAAAAACCCCACAACCCGTAGCATGTTTATGAATCAGAATGTTCAGCGTGTGTTTCGGGGGTGGAAAAGGTGGGCGATGCGCAGAGGAACAGAGCGCAGAGTTCGATGAGTCAGAAAATGCTGCTTTTCCTCTCCTTGCTGCCACCTCAGATATTTCAGCGTGAAATAGAAATTTTATTTCTTTTTTTTTTTAATATTATTGTCAAGAGAGAGCTGGAGCATAACCTTGGCTCGTTAGCAACCGCCAGCAGCTAATCCGACGTCAAGCCCCGCTCCGCAGGCGGAGTACKCACAGACGCGGGGCACACGCGTGTGCCGACGGAGGTACACACACATCCTGGCAGAAGGATGGAAATAAATCACATTTCGGTGCTTTTTCTAGCAAAACAGGGGCTCGGGTGTGTGCTCATGCCAGGTCCTTGAGAACGAGCCTTGGTGGATTTGGGGAGAGCAGCAGCACAGCCCCAGCTGGATTTGGGTTCATGGATGTCCCCCTGCTCCCACCCAGGCATACACACGGGAAAACACACACGAGGATTTGGGGATCCTGAATGAGGCTTACAGAGACACTGRGAGGTGTGTTGGGATAAACAAGTGAATTTGCTCGTGGGCTTTGAGCTGAAGCAGTGCTGTGGCTGGTTTGAATTACACTAAAACACAGTTACACAGCACCTTCAGYCAGGCACGGGAGGAGCTGCAGAGCATCAGGTGGGGTCACCCCGGAGCAGGGGGGTGGAAAAGAGAGTGGGTGAGCCCCCAGGGAGTGTGGATGGGCAGGATGGTCCTGCCAGCAGCGTTTCCAACCTGCTCCAGAGTCAGAGGAGATGAAACGCAAGATGAGATAAACACCCCYATGCTGCAGCCTCGAGTTTGACTCCACTGACATTCACAGCCCATTTAGGTTACCGATGGAGCAAATAAAATTATGCATATGCATTAACGCCAGCAATATCCTGCCTGAAATGTATGCTCATTTACACTCAGAAATCCATTTAGAAGAGAAAAATCAGAGCTATATTTAAAACAGAAAAATCACTTGTCTGTCCATGAGGAAACTCCTGTTTACATCTGTCATTCCTTGGCAAAACTGAAATAATTWCAAGGGAAATTGTGCCCCTGGTTTTACATTTAGGAAAGAAAATGTTTAAACGCCTGTACCTTCCCGCTCAGTCTGTTTTAAAATAACGGATGTGCATTTGGTTATTTTTGTTTGTTTGGGGTTTATTTTAAAGTTTTGTGGTCTAATGGCAACCTGTGGAGCTTGGAGCTGGTGGATGGGATGAGGTATAGGGAAGTGCCTGCCCGGCACATGTGAAACAGCCAAAGCATTTATTAATTAAAATTGACTTGGGAGATTCAGAATTGCCATGGTGAGACCCAAATGTTCTGCGGCTTCTCCAGTTTCCTTGGCAAATGAAAGGCCATGATGACAGCACTGATGACAGAGCTGAAAGGMGAACACAAGCTCTTCCTAACAGAGAAATATCTTCTTCCACTCCAGTAATCTGTACCACACTGCTTGGCTCCCCAGCCACGAACTGGTGATACCAAATAATCGGTATTGCTCTCTGTTTCCTCCTGCAAATGTGTTTGTGAGCACGGGATCTGAAAAAAACTATTTTAAGCTCCAAAAGAATACCCCCTCCCCAGAAAAAAAAAAAAAAAAAAATAATTTTATATCAATCACACCAATGATGGCTGCTTCTCACTTAACGTCAGAGCTCTCAGCAGCTCGCATTTTTTTAAATGCAATAAAAAAGCAGCAGCCAGCAGCTCTCTGAAGTATGTCAGGAGGCAGTTTTTCAGAGAGATGATGTACTTTAGATTGTGATTCACGACCACACTGGCAGTTTGGAGCTCAGGATTAGAAGGAAATGAATGAATGTGAGACAGGAGGGTGCGAAAATGAAAGTAGCTGGAGCTGAAGGCCGGCTCTGCACTTCGAGCCACGCAAGATTTAAGTTTTCTTCCCCTTCTGTGCAAGCTCAAACAAGTCACCAAACTGCCCCACACTTCTGCTGCTGAAGTTTAATTTAAGCCTAAATTGAAATGCAATTTAATACAGCCCACCTCCAAGCCCAGCTTGCTGTCCCGAGCTGCTCCCTGCAGCACTCTCACTGCACGGAGCTCTCCCAAACAGGACACCCAAGGGTACCCCAGCACAGCCAAGAAAGTTGGTGCCTGCTGCCACAACACAACCTGCAAGTCCTCATTGTGCTGGAAAAAAATCCACTTTTTGCTTAACATCAAGGTTTTAAACCAAGCAAACTAAACAGGTCCCTATCTGCATGGTTTTAAGCTGTTCTAACCTGTCTATGTCTCATCTGCTCCATGGGAAAAATATAAACACTGCTCAGAAACTGCAGAAATGCAGAATTCTTAAAAACCTTCAACCCCATTTCACTGAGGGTGACACTGCCCACGTCACTGCTCTCCATGTCCAGGCACATCTCAGCGAGCTGTGCTGCACAGGGGCTGCAGAGCTGTGCTCGGAAGGTGAAAGCCACAGGGCACCCCAAAGTCAGAARCTCTTGTGAACCAACAGCCTGTGAGAAACCCAGAGCTGGGGCACACGGGAAACAAAACTGCCAAGCGAGGAGTGCACAGAGCCACTGCTTGCAAGAGGAGGAAGGAAGAAGAAAAAAATAAAAAGGCAAACTAATTGCCACCACTAACCCTTTGCTCTGCACCTACGTCACACCTTCRAGCTCCCTTTTTCGAGGCAGAGCCCGGTGCCACGGAGCAGCCACCGCRCCTGACTCGGTGACGATGATTCACTTGGGCAAACAGAAGGACAAAGCCACCAGGAGCCCCATGATGGCAATGCCTATCGGTGACACCCTGCTGCCCAGCACASAACACCCTTCAGCCACATGCTCCTGTGGGGCCAGGGGATGGTGCACAAACTGGGTACAATTACACCTTGAGATCAGACCGACCACCTGTTTGATAAGGRTCTATTTTGCATTAGGGATGTATTTTGCCTTCAGCCTCCAAAGCAGAGGGTTCCCTCCCCTTCCAGTTAACCAGACAGGTCCCCAGCTGCCCTTCTCCAAAATCAGGCCTCACAGGGGCAGATGTGACACTCCACTGCTTGAAGCTTGTGCAGATGTTCCATGGCACCAGTTCCCAAGTCCAGCCCTGACCATGCTGGCTCAGGAGATGGAGCTGAAGCTGCCTGGTCTGGGAGCATTGGTGGGATGGGGTCCCYGAGCACAGCCCAGCACAGGACGGCTGCTCACGGGGCTGGAGGAGTCACAGCCCTCTGATCCCACCTAACACAGCCCTCCCAGTGAATACAATGCAGACAGCAATCCTGACAGCATCTACTCAGGCTTTCCTCAGCCTCATCCAAGAGGATCAAGCAAAYAGCAGATGCAACAAGCTCCAGCCCAGGAGAGAGTTCACACCCTTACCCCCTTGCACAAGTTTGAGAAAGGAGTCATTGATCCCAAGCACGGGAGCAAACTCCCCCTGAACCTTCCTGTTACCTACGCAGCGCTAACGACTGACCTCGGTCACAGCCGGAACAAAGTCACCCTAAAATCACCTGGGTGGGTACACACCCCCCAGCCAGCCCCTCCTGGGCACACTGAACACTTACAGGTGTAAAAATACCCCTTCTCCACCCCGTGAAGATGCCCAGCTGCTCGCAGAGAGTCCCCCGGGTCAGTGTGACACAYGGCAGGGCCGGTCCCCCGCTCCACGGCAGCACCCGCACCGGGGCTGCGGTAATRGAGAGCGGGATCCCCCCACGGAACACCGCTCACCGCTTTTTTGGGGCTTCCCTCTGTCACCCACAGGCAACGCGACCTTATCCTCTTTCCTTCCTGGTAACAACATATCGCTGTCCCTCCCCGCTTTCTGACACTCCGCCAGCGGAATTAACACCCCGCTAATTGCCGACGCTACTGGCCGCCCGTACCCGCAGTAATTAGCCTTTCATTAAAGCCAACAAATACCGCCCTAATCAACAGGTGTCCCGCGGCACATCCCCACCGATCCTCCGCACAGCCGGAGCCGGGGGGATGCTCAGGGGGGGACCCAGGGCAGCATCCCAGATCTTCCCGGTGCCGATCCCGGTCGGGAGGGTCCCGGTCCACATCCCGATCCCGATCCCGATCCCGATCCCGGTCCCGGTGGGGAGGATCCCGGTCCACATCCCGATCCCGGTAGCGAGGGTATCCCGGTGTCCCGATGTCCCGTTAGCGCTGCCCCATCCCACCCCCGGCCCGCATCCCACGGCGGTCCCGTCCCGCCGCACTGACCATTGGGGCCGTACTTCTCCCGGTTGCGGCGGACCTGCTCGGGGCTGAGCCCGCAGCTCTCGCTGACCCCGAAGCGGCGGAGCACGTCGAGCACGGGGATGCTGTGCGCCGCCTCCATGCCCCGGCCCGGGGGTGCTGGCCGGGGGCGCAGGAGGCACACGGGGCGCCGCTCGCACGGCGATGCCTCGGCACCTCTCGGCCCGCCCGGCTCCGGGCCCGCCCCCCCGGCACCGCCCCGCTCCGTTCCGCACCTCCCCCGGGGCCCCGCGCCCAGCRCCGCCCCCTCGGCAGCCCCGGGGAGCAGGGACACCGGGCTGTCCCCGCACAGCCTCGGGCGAGGGCTGGAAGGGACCTTAAAGCCCATCCAGTGCCCCCCCCTGCCGTGGGCAGAGACATCTTCCATCACCCCCGGGTGTTCCAAGCCCCGTCCAACCTGGTGGCCTTGGGCACTTCCAGGGATCCGGGGGCAGCTTCTCTGGGCACCCTGTGCCAGGGCCTCTCCACCCTCACAGGGAACAATTCCTTCCTCATATCTGATCTAAATCTCCCCCTCTTCAGTGTGAAGCTGTTCCCCCTTGCCCTATTGCTCCCAGCCTTTGTCCAAAGTCTGTCTCCATCTCTCTTGAAGCCCCTTTAGGCACTGGCAGGATCTCCAGGGTCTCCCCTGAGCCTTCTCTTCTCCAGGCTGAACACCCCAGCTCTCTCAGCCTGTTCGATGTCTTGGCAGAATTCCAGGCTGAGAAGTGGGCAGGTTTGTGGGCAGTGGAARCAGTCCAGAGGAAATRGCTGTGTCTTAASAAGTTAAGAAGAGAGGTAAAGTTTCCATCACAGAACAGATATAAAAAAAATATCAGAAGCAATAGAAGGAGGTGGGAATGCTGTGTGGGTGCAGCTCAGCTGGGGGGTGTAGGGGGCTGCCTGAGAACAATGCTCTTTGGGCCCCCTCCATCATTCTGCTTCACCCCTGGGAGCTGAGCATGCCCCAGCCCCGCTCCTACTCTGCTGGAAGCAGAGCAGTTCCATGTCCACTGACCTTGGTGGGATCAGGATTATCACTGATGGTAGCAGCAGGAGTCCTGGAATCACAAATCCCTGCCTGGCACTTGTAGAAAGCACTGACCCTGTTCCCATCAATGCGCTGTGTCCAAAGAGAGGCAGCTGTGCTGGGCTGACTGTCTTCGGAAATGTGGGATGTAAAATGTCACTGAAGGGAGATGGAGAGAGAATCCAAGGCACCTTCTCTGTGGGAAAACCTGAGCACCAGCCCCACAGATATCCTGGGACACCACAGTTCACACCCCTCAGTGCTCCTGGGCCCCACACAGAAGGCAGAGCTTCCGAATTTGGGAAACGGGCTTATCCTGGTGGCATTTGTGTTTTTGCAYTGGCCTCGACCCCTCTCACTGCCCTGCTTGAGAAAGAGCTCCAGTTACACCACATATCACACTTTGCAACACTTTTGGCAATGAGCTACTTAAATAACTACTTCTAGCAGGAAAATGACTGATTTTAGCCGCTCCCCCACACAGCAGAGACCAGCAGCAGCACCATGACCCCCTGATCTGGAARAAGAGGGTTTGCCCCCCAAATCCCAGCTGAGGTCACCACCACCACCACATCTGCGTGACTTTTTGATGTAGTGCACCTGAGCCAGCTCCCTCACTCCAGCAGTTTTTCCATGACCCAGCTCAAACCTGCTCCCAGTGACTCTCCCCATGTGAACACCAACTTCTGACTTTTCAGGTACTTCCAGTTTTCCCACTGTTGCTGGAAGAAGCCTGTAGCTGATGGGGACTGGCACTGCTCTCCAGCTGAGAAGGGAGAGGCGAGACAGCTGGAGGGTGACGAACCCAACTTCTASAGAAATGTACCCAAAGCAGAGCCAGAGACAGCGGCCAGCACCAGGAAGTGACAGCAGACATCTTTGGGAGGAGCTCTGGCTTATTTATTTCTATGTAAATTCATTTATAGAAAATGTTTCGCGGCTCCCACTGGAGTTGAGGTCCTGAAGAAATGCAGGGTCAGTTTTCTGGTTTGATAAACTCATTTTTCTCAGTTCACCGCAGCTGACGCGTGGGAGGCAGAGGGTGCTCCAGAGCTCAGCTCGGCGTGCACAGGAAGCACAGCTCCCAGYCCTGCAGCCTGGCCTCACTTCAAGCTCTGTCATTGTCTTCATCTGCCTCTCATGAGCGTTTTGGGGAGAAAAGTGCTGTTTCTGCTGCTGAGCCCCCAGGCAGTAATGCTGCCCTTGGCTCATGTGACTGAGCAGTTCACAGAATCTTGGGATGGGTCAGGTTGGAGGGGATCACAGTACCTCATCTGGTCCAACATTTCTGCTCCAGCAGGRYCATCCCAGAGCACCTGGCACAGGAGTGTGTCCCGATGGYTCTGGAATATCTCCAGTGAGGGAGACTCCACTCTCTCTGTGGGCAAYCTGCTCAGTGYTTSRTCACTGCACAGGGAAGTTCTTCCTCATGTTYGGCTGGAGCTTCCTGGGCATCAATTTCTGCCCGTTGCCTCTTGTCCTGTTTCTTGGCAGCACTGGGAAGAGCCTGGTSCATCATCCTGACATCAGACACTTGGCAGACATGGATGAGGTCCCCTCTCAGTCATCTCTTCTCGAGGCTCAACAGGCCCAGTTCCCTCATCCTGTCCTCGTAAGAGAGACTTTCACCAGGTGCCTGGGAAGAAGGGATGTGACCTGGAATACTGACACATGATGTGCTCTCGACCAGGGGTGCAGAGAACCCGGTGCAATCCCCAAAACTTGGGAGCTGCTCTCAAAGCTGCTGCTCTGGAGAGGGTGGGACTGGACCCCTCAGCCTGCAGCCTGGTGGGAGCCCACAACAGGCAGCTTCCAGGCCTTGTTATCCTATTTCAGGGCAAACATGCTGCCCTTGGAGCAAGGCTTTTGGGAGTAGGGCTCTTGGTGTCCTCCTGGGCATGATTCAGGCGACACCCTGCACCACAAACTGCCTGGTGTGCACACAGGAAGGTGAGGATCTGGTTTAATGCTCATTGTGCACSTCAAGAACAGAGACAGGACAGAAAGACAGAGCTGTGTGACTGTGCAGGTGCCACCTGGAGATCCTAACTGCTCTCCCCAACATCTCCTGACCCTATTTTGTGTTCTTCCACATCAGCAGTTCCTCCAGCTCAGCATCAACCCACCCCACTCGTGAGACCCTACCACTGGGCCAGGTGCTGGCTGTTGTTGCTGCTTCTCCTGGCTTCATTGGATTATGCCAGTACTTCTAGAGGAAAAGAGCATGAAGATGATGTCCCAACTGCAAAGGTTAAAGTTTGACAAGGTTGGGAACGATTGAGAGTCACAAAAGGGGACATCTGGCAGCCCTGGTAACAAGGCAGCACCAGCCACCCCACCTATAATTAAACAATCCATGAAAACCATTAGCGACTGGTAGCTGTAAATTAGTCAGCGATGGGAAATGGACTGGAGTGAAAACACACTCGGTATTGCAGGSAAAGGGTCCGCAGACATCCCGGGCTGTGGAGGGAGTTGGGCTCCATCCCCGGCAACCCCCGAGTGCGGGGGATTCCCTTCTGTAGCAGCTCAGCCCCAAAACAAAGGGCAAACCACCTTATTTATCTTGGCTTCCCCCACGGTAATAACTTCTGGAGGTACACACGCTTAAGAGAGCCATAAAAAGAAGAAAGCAAAAGGTTTAATACCTCCCAGGCTACTGAGGAAGGTTTTTTTTTGCCGTGGCTGTGGTGTGGGAGGAAGAGCAGGACCCAGCCAGGGCTGACTGARCGCTGTACAAGACATGGAAGTCTACAGGCACTTTTGTTTTTTTTTAATCTCGCTTCCACGAAAGGAAATCGGGAGTAATCCTCCCAAAAGCTGTGGGTTTTTGCTCTGCTCCTCTCCCTGGCTGGGGGTGAGGAGAGTGGGATGTCTGGAGCCGCCCCAGAGCCTGTCGGAGTCAGCGGAGAGGCTGCCAGAGACGCTGGAGCGACGCCGCGCTCCTCACTCCAAGGATTTTACAATCCGTGCGAGATTAATCTTTTGTCTCCACTTTGTTCCTCGGAGATGGGGAAAAAATTATGTTTGCTGGAAAGGCTGAGAGAGCAGCTCGTGTGCTGGTAGCCAGCCCCAGGCAGCGGGGGATAAGGCGCTAGCGGAGCCTGAGTGCAGGCAGACCGCGGCTGTGAGGACTGTCAGCGGCTTGAAAGGCTTGGGGAAAAAAAGTACAGGGCATTTAGTCGACTATTTCATCCTCTTTGTTGTGGTTTATAGGGTCCGCATCTCCCCTCCCCGCTCAGGACAAGGCGTGAGAAGGGGGTGGCCGATGCAGGGGCCAGCCCTCGGATGTGCATTTCACACCTTTCCGGGATCTCACTGCCACCCCCTGAGCTCGCCACGGCCACACATCCTCGGTGTGGATCCCGGGAGTGGAGCTGAGAGCCCAAGGAGAGCAAACTCAGGGTTAACCACCCGAAACGGAGCAGCTAATGCGGCACCAGGAGGTGCCAATCTCTTCTGTCAACAGCTCTCACCTTCCTAAATCAACCCGGGTGCTATGAACTGCCCCGTGTCCTCATCCCAGGGCTATCGCACACACGGGTATTAATTAATTAGARGTGACAGTGCCACTGCCATTTGCCATTTTGCTCCAGGCTCCCTCTCCTTGCATACCCCGGTTCACAGACAGCAAATCCCCATCCACAAGGGAGAGTCAGGAGCGGCRCTTTTTTTTTCCACTGCAGCTTAGATATTTGCTTTTCCTATGGAGAGAAAAAAATATAATWCTCCTTGAAATAACAGTTTGAGGCTTTTCTAAATGTTACACAGCAGCCGACCTTTCGGAGCCAGGCTTAGGGGTTTATTTCTAATCCCCAGCCAGGACTTGCAGCAGCTGTGGGTCAATCCTGCTCTCCGAGGGCTCAAACATCAATCCTCACCACCACAATGCTCAGGGCTGGAGCTCCGGTGTTCCAACCCTTCCTGGAAATCTGTTGCCTTGGCTGTGCACCCTGTGCTGCCCTGTGCACCTTGAGGAGGTGTGGGATGTGGTTACCAGCGGGGTTTGGCTCCTTGGAGCACAAAGACAGCAGTTGAAGGTGGCCCAGAAGCAGCAGGCAGGATTTTACATCTGTGGAAAATGAGGAGGAATGGGATGTGTGCACCAGGATTTTCTGTGCAAGGCCATGGCTGCACAAGCCTTTTCTCCCAGCTCTGCTCCCACT